AGATAGATAGATAGATAGATAGATAGATAGATAGATAGATAGATAGACAGATAGATAGATAGAGACAGACATATAGAGAGAGAGATTTTAGTATTTATTGTAGAATTAATAAAATGATGTCCCTCTTGTTCTGGAGTCAGGTCTCGGGGCTACTGCTTGAGCAGGAAGGCCCAGACATCTCTGTCCACAGCGACCTCCTTCAGTAGGATCCCAAGGTGTTCCCAGATTAGCCAGAGTCTTTCCAGCATGTCCTGGGTCTTCCCTGTGGCCTTTTCCCAGTCAGACATGCCTAGAGCACCTCCTTGTGGGGTGGCCAGGTAGCATCCATGTCTGAACCACCTCAACAGACTTCCCCATCATGTTTCCAGCACTTAGTGAGAATGGGTTTCACACTTTGAGTGTCAGGGGAGTTTCGGCCAAGGTCAAAGGTGTTTATCACTAACTACTGATAAATTAATGTTGAATCATGTTTGTGAGTTCAGAGAGTTGTTGGTTTGATCCTTGATTCTCACACACTGTCCGGTGCAGATCCTCGCAATGGGCTTCAGTGAAACATCTGTGTAAGCCTGTTGTCAACATCTGTCCTTGCAAGTAAAACGTTATTAAAAAAACAATTCCTGTCGCCGTGTGGCTTATTTTAGTATTTAAGATGAATAGAGGATATTTCTCAAGGTCAAGGTTTCTTTATTGTCATTCTCATCATATGTGGTACATGTGTTGGAGTGAAATGATCTACACAGGGTCCCAGTTCATCCAACAAAATTATAAATCGTAAATAAAAACAGTAATAAGATCTAAGGTATGAACTAAGAATACACCAAGTACTAGAAGTATAAAAACATTACGCCGAACAGCAGCAGCACGAACGTGAGCCTGTGTGAGCAGAAGAGCACGAATGAACACAGCAGCATGAAATAAATCAGCAGCATGAAATAAATCAGCAGCATGAAATAAATCAGCAGCATGAGATCAGCAGCACGAACGTGAGTCTGTGTGAGCAGAAGAGTACGAATGAACACAGCAGCATGAAATAAATCAGCAGCATGAGATCAGCAGTATGAGATCAGCAGCATGGATAGTCAGCAGCACATTTTTTTATACAACAATGGGATTGTTGTTTTTTCTTTGTTACCGTATCCATTCAGTGGAATAACATGTCTTAAATGGGTCAGATCATAGAATCTCATCTGCATGAAAATGAAGAATCAGTTTCACGTGTGAGGAAATAAACTCCTCTGATACCAACCCATCCCTTCTGTTGATCGTCCAGAGCCATTTATTTCATGTATCTGCTTCATTTGTACGGTGCCAGGAACTTTTAGCTGCTTCTTCCCATCTGTGCATCCAACCACAACAAAGGATTCAACCATTTTTATTTAAATTTGTGAAGAAGACAGCAATCAATGACCTTCTGACAAATGTATAGCTGGACGACACATGTTGTCCTTCTGTCCACCGGCGAGGTTTTGAGTCGGGCGGTCACGTGATCAGGACGAGATAATGATCTTCAAATTGGAACTGGGATGAATTTCAAACTTCATCTTTGTTATTTAGCTCGATATTCAGCTGTGGACGATTACATGATGACAGAGAGGTTTATAACGCAAACACTGTAATGATCAAACTAAAAGTAATTTAAACCTTCAAAATAATACACAGTTCAAACTGAGTCCAGAACACGTTTCCATTCTTGAAAGAAAATAAAAAACACTGAGCTACATGTCTCAGTCTGTTGAACCATAAAACCACAGGATGGCAGCAGAAGTCCCACGATGTTTCCAATCTGGCACCTGAACGCCTCACGATGTCATTTTGACATATCAGAAAAGAACCTCTTTAATCAGTTTTTGTTTTGTGTATTTGAGGTTTTTTAAGGCTAATATTTTATTTGTTTCACAGATTCTTACCTGACTCCATGGTCTCACATTGAAGTGGGTTCATTACATTTTTTTATTTTTTATTTTTTTAAGTCAGACTGTCAGGACTCATTTTAGTAAAAATATAAATTCTAACATCTGTGATAAATCAGGGATACAGTGCTTTTTTACATACAAGTTAGGAGGGGGATGGGAATTTTCTAGATGGGGAACAAATGAGGTTTTTATTAGTTTATTGTTGCTACATTTTAAAACAGAAAGGACAAAACAAACATCTTTAAAACAAAAAGTAAGTTCCAAACAAAGAAACATCCCTTTAACCACAAAACAGGTCCAATTTATTTTTTATAAACAGACTCAGAGTAAACATCCACTCATTCATTCATTCATTCATTCATTCATTCATTCATTCATCCATCCATCCATCCATCCATCCATCCATCCATCCATCCATCCATTCATTCATTCATTCATTCATTCATTCATTCATTCATTCATCCATTCAACCTTTATTTATAAAGGCTAGTTTAATCCACATCCATCCATTCATCATCTTTACCCACTTCTTCCTTTTCAGGTCACAGGTGTCCATGTCCAGCAGTCACTGTGCGAGAAGCAGGGGACACCTGGAC